TTTCACTTGGAAGAAATTCCTGTTTTAGATGCTGATTATATTTGTTTTTAGCTGTTGCTTTAGTTATGGACTTTTGTTTAGAAGCCTCATGTTTAGTAGGATGGTTTATATTCTACTCTCTTTTTCATTTCCTTTTACTCCTCACTGTTTACACTTGGGTCCTTGCTGAATTTCCTGATAAAATACATGAATATAGTTGTCCAGGTGTAGAGTTAGTTCAAGGTTCTTCTTGGGTCTGTTCTACCTTCCAAGCTTAAAGGCTGCATTTTGAGAGCAGTTCTACTTTCTACATAATGTTAGCATTTGAATGAATGGATCTAACTTGGCAACTTTCCAGAAGGCTGGCTCTTTCAGAGGTCAAAGTAACCATGACATGAGGCCAAAATTATGCCAACCCAGTGTTTTATAAGGCATTTTATTTTACTGATTTTTGAGAGAGGAGAAGAGAGGGGGAAAGGGGGGGGCAGCAGGGAGAGAGAGAGAGAGAGAGAGAGAGAGAGAGAGAGAGAGGCTACTTTTATCCAAAAGAATTGCTTATTACAGGTGAGCCTGACATTTTTCATTAGAACCGAACTCGTTTATGAAAGTTGGCCATTTGACTGGCTTTCAGTAAATATCCCAAGGACACTCAACCAATAAGGTATTTTGGGTCTATTAATTTATCATTGTGAATCTTTGATGCTTTCCAGCAACAGGTACATACTGAAATAACAATCTAAGGTTAAATAATTACGGTGAAAGACTAAATCAGGACAAATCACAAGCCAAGCATGACAAAGTCAGGCCGCTTCGGGAGGAAGCCTGGGAGAACCAGTTCCGGACGTTCGGTTCTCTCTTCAGTGTTGCAGCAAAAATGTGGGCCTTTCCACAGTGGCTTTGCTGTTCATCCCACTTACAGCATCATCACGTTCCTGTGTAGTCATGTTTATCTCTCATTTTCCTTATGGTCCTGCCCTGGGAGTTACGCTTACAGAACTACTGTCCTGTCTTAGTAACATTTTATGATCCTATTTTAAAAAATACTTGATAATTTAATCTATCTGATAATATTTAGTATATAAGCGAAGTGGGGGCATGATTTATTTCCAAGGAGCTTGCTCCTTGCCCCATTACTATTTATTGAATAATCAACTTTTAAATTGATTTGAAATATTATATTATCAAATATTAAATTCATTTACATGCTGGGGAAACTTTCCAGCGTTTCTACTGTTTTCATTTATGAATTTGCCACGAAATTTTAATTAAAACTATAGATAGCAATTTTTTAATTTGGAAGTAAACTTTATATTAGTTTTCCTTTTAAATATTTATTGGCTATTATTGTTCACTTTATTCTAGATGAATTTTAGAATCACTTCATTAAGTTGTAATATTTAAAAATGATTATTTTGATTGCAAAGTAGTAAGTTTATTAATTAATGGAGGATCTCTTTTTAATTTTTTATGAGTTCCTCTACAGAATCATATTCATGTGTATGTTTTTCTTTATCCTTATCCTCTTTTTAAAATATCGTGAGGTTTATGTCAAGAAATATGTATTGGTTGTCAATTATAGTAAGTAGCAAGCTACTTGGAAATAAATGTGTATATTTCTACATAAAATAAATCAGATAGACATTAAATGGACTGTTGCAAATGTTAAAAGGTAAACCGAGGCACATCAGAAATTGTTAAGAGTATATTTGAGCAAAAATAGGTTTGAATTGGGCTGTGCCAAACCACAAGTATTTAGAAGGGATCCACCTATAGGAGAAGAGGAAGACTTTTATAGGGAAGATGTGGAAACAAAGGAAGGACATTCTTTGATTGGCTGTAGCTTAAGGGGTTGCCTTCTTTGGGAAAGCCTAGTTGGTTCTTTGTGATTGGTTGTTCATAGGTTTTGGTTTCTTAACCTTGGAGCATTTACTAGCTTACCTTACCTTTGGGTTTGCTCCAGTCTAATGGCTTCCTCGTTTAGTTAACTTGACACAAATAATTAAATAACTACAAATGTTTACAGTGCTTGAAAGAGAGCATTATTTATCTGTAGTCTTAATAAATTATGTCAAAAAATGAACTGTCCTCTTGAGACTGTTCAGATGGGGTGGCATATATGAGCCTTCTGCTAAGTGATCTTCCTGCAGTGGCTTCACAGCAGCTGTCTCCAGAAGGCTCTTCCCTGAAAGTGATATGAAAGAGAGATGATGGCTATTCCGTGTGATGTGCTCATGTAAATGCCAAGAGTTGGCTTACAGGTATTGGCTTGGCTTCCATCCAAATGAATGGCACAGTCTCACATTTGACTCTATTTTATGCTGCGATGTATTGGTAAATAGTAGGTGGTAGAGGGAGGAAAAGCCGTATATTGTAGTGCCTACTAATTTCTGCCATGTAAAATATATTCTTCTATAGCTGATTTCAAGCTACGAATGTGAAGTCAGCTAACTTGCAAAATTCCTTAAAATTTAACCATTGAAATTCAAACCAGCTCTGGTGCACCATTGAACCCCTCCTATTATCCTTTCCCCCGGCCCCAACCACCGTCGCCCTCCTCTGGTCTCAGTCTAACTCACCTCCTCGCAGGCCATGCCCCACCCTTCCTCAGTCTGCCCTATGTCCTCAAGCTCCTTGGAACTTCTCTTGCTATGCATATGCCATATCATAAACTAATAGCTGCTTTCTCAAGGAGGAACATTTTGAGGGGAATAACATTCATTTAGGAGTTAAAAAAAAAACAAAACTTAATATTATTTCTTTTTCTTTTCTTCTTGCTATAAGTCTGTCATACCTTGAGGCAACAAAGATACTGCCAACTGGCCAGGGAAAAGGGCCAGAAAGTCCAGACAGTCACAGAGATTAATATTTTAAAAGTTTGACAAACCGAGGCTTAGTCAATGGATACCGTTCATCTGAGGCCCATAAATCCATTAACAGAATCAAGTCATTTCACCATTGTCTGTTGACTGGTTAGAACATGCGGTAACTGCGGAGGGTAATCTACTCTATCTTTATACAGGGAGGAGAGGGGAAGAGAATATGAGAAACTATCATCTCTCTCCTACAGAAGCCACTTGATTCTATCACCCAGGAAAACGTGTGGCGATCTGTAGGCATCAGAATACTGCTGGGTCACTCTGAGTGTGCTGGGGAGGGGTGATTGAGGGAGGCATGATGTTCCTGGGGCACAGGTGCAGCCACAGAGCTCAGCATAATGATGGCGAGAGAACTATGTGGACAGGAAGCAGAAGGAACCATCAGTCTCCTTCATCCCTACTCCCTTCTGTCTTCCTTCTGCTGACCTTGGTATGGAGATAGTAAAAATGCAGTATGGCAATGATGCCACAAGGGATGGTCTCAATTGTTTGATCAGTGAAAGGTAGATGTTATATCTACAATGCTCTTTGGATTTGGGGCCATTTTATTGGTGATGTAAACAGTCTTCCTAGGGAAATTCTCTGCCAGCTTATCTGAAGCTGTTCCAGTAGCCTCCGGGCTGAATTCGAGCCAGTAAGGATGAAAACTTGGAGTTCTTGTTCCTTGTGCCCTCTTAACTTCCATGGTGTAGATCAAATGGAGCCCTCCACAGCTAGGCTTTCATATTTTAAACAACAGACCCTATTTATAGTGATGCCACAGTCAACATTAAAAAAGTTGTTTCTGTATTTTTGATCTTGATCCTTCCGGGCGGTAGGTTACTTCTTATGGATGTAACTGAAGATATTCATCCTCTTGCTCAGAGTGAGAAAATGGGATGGAATAGGGTAACTTGGATGCCTGCCCTTCCTCAAGCCATGCAGTTATTTAGCTGGAGAGGCAATAGAGAACAGTGTTGGATCTTAGCAGGACTCTCTGGAAAAATCAGATAACTCCTGTCAAAACAGTCCACCCTGCTGAGTTGACAAGGATCTGCTGTTTGTGATGCTTCACTTACTGATGTTGGAACATCGGACGGGGTTGAAGTTGTTAGGTTCTATTCTTGGACAGGGTACAGAAATGATGCTCCATCCCAAACACATTTCAGCCACAGACACTAACCAATGTAGCATTGGACTGTGCTTACAAGGGTGAAAATATGGCCAGGAGTTCACAAACACTTGAGGAAATTCACCTCAATGATGGAACCATAGGACCTCTCTCAAGGAATTGAGTTAATATGTAGTACAAGACCAAAAAAAAACCCCACAAAGAAATGAATATAATTATTATATTCATGGAAGAAGAGCAGGGTAATGAAAAAAGGCAATGTTCTTGAAAATTAGATACATTAAAAGAAAACCCTCAATTGATGGGTTGACTAGCAATAAACACCAAATTGAGCAGGGGGAAGGTGGAGAAAGAAACATTATGAGGAGAAACTATATGGTTAACACCACCAAATCTTAGCCCATTAAAGCAATACATTCTTTGCAGTAGATGGCAATGGAAGCCTAATTGCCAGTAAGATTGTCAGGATAGAGAGACAGAAGTACATTGAATGGAAATATTTGCTTTATTGCTGTGTCGCCCCTTTAGTTTCCACTATTTAGTTTAATTGGAACAATTGCTATACCTAGTAGATGATTGAAATGTTTGCTTATGAGTATTTTATGTTAAAATATATTAAAAGTTATGTATATTTTAATATAAATACTCATAAGGAAACATTTCAGTCATCTATTGTAGCATAGATGGTAGGTAGAAAATAGAAAGAGGGAGGGTAAGAATAGTATAGGAAATGTAGAAACCAAAGAACTTACAAGTATGACCCATGGACGTGAATTAAAGGGGGGAATGTGGATGGGAGGGGGTGTGCAGGGAGTAGAGAAGTGAAGGGGAGAAATGGGACAATTAATAGCATAGTCAATAAAATATATTATAAAAATATGTATACTAAAAGTTTATATAAAGCAAAGGGATTCTTAACTAGTTGGAATCTATGACTGATAGAGTATTTAGAAATTTTTGAATCAACCCTGAAGTCATGTGTTTTAGACTATTACTCTTATAAACAACTGAATTCTTTTTTTTAATGTATTTAGGGTTTGGAAACATCTCACCTCGCACAGAAGGGGGCAAAATATTCTGTATCATCTATGCCTTACTGGGAATCCCCCTCTTTGGCTTTTTGTTGGCTGGAGTTGGAGATCAACTAGGGACCATATTTGGAAAAGGAATTGCCAAAGTGGAAGATACGTTTATTGTAAGTATGCGAGACTTTGAATTACTTGTAATTATTGTTTAATCTCTTAAAATATCACACTCTTTCTATTAGCTTCTAAATATACAGTTAGACATTCATTATCGGATTTTCTGTGACAATTTCTAGGTATTAGTATTAGCACTATGTAGTTATTTTTATACTTACCTGAGTGAGTAAATGAATTCATGAGAACACCCCTAAAATAGGCATAAAAGGTAGGAATCTGAGAGTCACAAGTTCAGATTTTTCAGCTATATTGTCTCCTTCCTCTCTTCTCTATTTTGTCATTTATTTAATGTGAATATTGATACTGATAATGAGGTATTACTATAAGAATCAGATATAATATAGGTTAAAGCTTAACGTAGCTACTTAAGACTGACAACATCTCATTATTTAAGAGTTACTTTGGGCCCTGGCTGGTGTAGCTCTGTGGATTGAGCGTGGGCCTGTGAACCAAAGGATCATGGTTCAATTCCCAGTTAGGGCACATGCCTGGGTTGCAGGCCAGTTCCCAGCAGGGGATGCATGAGAGGCAACGATACTTCTATATTTCTCTCCCTCTCTCCTTACCTTCCACTCTAAAGATAAATAAATAAAATCTTTTTTAAAAAAGTTACTTCAGTACCCTTGGTCATTGCTGGTGTCATTGTAAGCCCATCTGTGAAGGAGAGAGTAATATATAGCAAACACAATGAAGGTGATTATACAACTTAATTCAGTAATGTCATTTATAGAAATTTATCTAAGGGATGTAATTCAGTAGAACCTACAGTAATATACATGATGTTCATGGACAGAGGTTCAATATAAAAAAATAAATAAAATGAAAATGCTTCAACTAGAATTTGGAGTAAAAAATGGTTAATAGTATCATCATGATTATAAACTTCTATTCTTGAAGATAATTATGGAAATGACTGTGTTAGGAATGGGGTTACAAATGATTACTACTGTTGTCGCTATTACAAATACATTTTATTTGTTACTCAATAGTATTTTATATTTTCACAAACATTTTAACAAAGCATTTTACATTTAACTCTATGGATGAAATACTATTGAGTATTGTTTTCCAGTTTAAACTATAGTTCCAGTTTTTAGCATTAGTTATATTTCATTTGTAAATTCAAGGTTCACTCTCAAATATTTAGAATGGGGTAGGTATAGTTTTTCCAAAACAGAAGTTTAATCTTTTTATAGCATTATACTTTTCTGATATTGATATTAAAAATAGTTTGTATTCATATTAATTGAGAAGTGGGGTTAGGGGCATAAACTTGGTAGTGCCTAATTGTTCATTTATTCAGCAGAGTTTTAGGTGCCTGTGGGATGCTGGGTAATATTTTTCTTATTTTTCTTTTTTCTTTTGCCTGTCACTAACCTGGTGACTGACCATGCCATAGTGGGGCCAGAGTCAGTGAATAAGGTCAGCAGTTGTTCTTTGAGGACTCTAGCATGAGTAATATTTTTCATGCTGCCTGTATATCACTGTATAAAACAAATCCTGTGCCCTATTAGTGATTACAGTCCAGCAGACATGATTTAGCATTTAGTACGAAACATTTCTGAGAACTTTACAAATGAGATTTGTTTTACTCTCGGATATGTGATATGGATGGCAGGCTAGGAAAACTTTTATTTCCACTTTCCATTCTGTGGTTTCATAGATCTTTATTTCTGGATAGAAATATTTTCATCCTCCCAAGTTCAGTAATTCTTCTATGGTGTGGGGCTGTGACCTATGGTTTTCACAGTAGATGGGGCAGATTTAGAGATGAAAAATGTATGGTGATTAATCTCAAAAGGAGATCTGGAGGTAAAGTGCATTCATGACGAACTTGATTAAATGTCATCCAGTGGGGGTTCCTGATAAGAGAAAGAGGTGAGGGAAGGTGGGCAATCTGATGACAGCTGCAGCCGAGGGCTGTTGGAGACTTACCCTCACTCACGTATCACTGTTGCCATGTTCAGTTTTACAGTTAAAGGCACAGAGCAGACAGACTGTGCATGTGGGTCACATGAGACTCAACTGTGAACTTTCAGTCTGTTACCAATACACTTGAGTCAGTTGAATAATGTTTGGCAAATGTGATAGGAGTGAGGGGGAGTCATTTTGTCAATTATCAGTAGTCAATATTTAATTAATGGTTCAGCTTTTTTTCATTTTTGATATATTTCTAGATTGTGTTTACCCAGCAATTCTTTGTATGCCTGTAGACTAGAAATATTTTCACAGCAGTTCAGGGAAACAAAAGGATGATGTAAATCTAGAATTGTATCCTCGGAGCCAATGTAATTTTATTTTTGAGAGCATTTTACTTGTGTTAAAGCCATGAAAGAGAAAAGTGGCATTGTTATTAGCATTGAGTGTATATGTTATACCCAATTTTGTCTTTACTTAGAAAGACAATAAAAAATCATGAAAATGAAGAAAACAACCTTTTCACTTGCTAATTTGCTGATCACAGGGTATATAGGTTAGCTTTGTGCATGCACCAATAATCCATGAATCTCTGTCAATTAATTCCTCCTCCTTTTTCTGTCTGTATCTCTTCTGTAGAAGTGGAACGTCAGTCAGACCAAGATTCGCATCATCTCAACAATCATCTTTATCCTGTTTGGCTGCGTGCTCTTCGTTGCTCTGCCCGCAATCATATTCAAGCACATAGAAGGCTGGAGTGCCCTGGATGCCATTTATTTTGTGGTTATCACTTTAACAACCATTGGATTTGGTGACTACGTTGCAGGTAAGGTTTTCCTGGCACCAACACTGCTCTTCTAACCCTTGGCCGTTATAGACGTCACTCGGGTTTGCCGTCCAACTGAGTGACTGTATTCTTTCCTAAGGTTGCCATAACCAAGTACCACGAACTGGGTGGCTTTAAACAAAAGAAATCCATTCTTTCATGGAAGTTCAAAATCAAGGTGCCAGCAGTAGCTTGACACCTCTGAGACTCAGGCAGAATCCTTCCCGGGCTCTGTCCAGCCCCTCGTTGAAGGCCTTCGGTCCTCACTGGCCCCTGGCTTTCAGCGGCATCGCTCCCATCTCTGCTTTCATTATCACGTGGCTTTCTCCCTGTGTCCACATTTCCCTCTTCTTAGAAAAATAGCAATCATATTTTTAAAAAAGGAATACCAGTCAACAGGATTAAAAGCCCGCTCTCATCCAGTATGAGTTCATCATTACTAACACATCTATAAGGACCTTATTTTCAAATTAAGTCACATTCCAGAGTCACAGGGACTAGGCCTTCAACATATGTTTTTGGAAGACACAGTTAAATGTGTCTTCCCAAAAAACTCATTTTATGACAGTAGAGGTAAGCAGATGGGTGCAGTTCAACATTTATTGTTTATTCTATGAAAGAAATTTGGTGGCTGGTTGTTCAGAATTTTATATTCCCAGCCTATTTGCAGAAACCTAACATCAGCCCCTTAGTTTTTTAGCACTACAAGAATTTCAGTTTAACTTATCTTTGCTCTTTTTTCTTAGGTCTTTTTATGTCTTAGTTTAAAAAAAACACATATAGACTTTAGAAGATGTTCTTAGCTACTAAAAACTTTTTTTCTTGAAGATATTTATTTTTTTCATTTTCAATTCTCAGGATGATATTTTTGGGCTTAGCCAAAGTGTCCACATTCTTTATCTATTTTTAAAATTTTTCTCTTCTATATATGTTATTTCAACTGCTATTTGCTTTATTGTTAGAGTTCTTAGGACTTAACATCTCCATCATTTCAACTCTCTTTTTCCCCGGTTATATTATTTAATTATTATTGTTCTAACTTCAGTTTTAAATAGATAATAATTGTGTCAAAAGTAATGTAATAATGTACTACCATGGATCATTTTGACCACCTCCTGAAAAGCTAAGCTATTCTTTAAAAATAGTTAGTTTGGAGTATGAGAAAAACATGCCAAATATTATAGTAGGAATGTGCCATTAAATTTTCCAGAGTAAACTCACCAGCTGAATTTAGTTTTAGGAGAGTTTTATACTTTCTGATTATTTACAGTTCCTTCTTGACCCAAACTTCTTACTTAAATAGTTTCAAAAAGAGAATATGTTTTGCAGTTCTGTGAAATCTCAGAGAAAGCTGACAGTGCGCATGTTTTTATTGATTGGTTAGTAAGTGTGAGTTGGCAAGGCCTTCCTTTCTGGGGAATGGATAACATCCTTGAAGGTATGTTTTTTTGAGTGGAACTTCGCTCCGGTCAAAAATGCTCTGTGCACCTCTGTGTGCTGGCTGGAGGGCCTGGGGTGGGGGTCACACACTCTGCTGGAGATCTTTTAGTTTTCTAACTAGCAGAATGTAGACAGAAGAGTCTCAGACATTTGCATGTCCGTATAAGAGCTTCTGTCCTAAAACACCCATTTTTCTCCTCCTCATCAAAGCTGTAGAACTGGCTTGAGTAGAAGCAAAAAGTGTATTAATATAGGAGAAAGTGAGACACGGTGTGGATAAGAACACTGATACTTGTGGTGTGTTAATCTTAGCCTCTTGTACCATTTCATAAGTATAATTAACAACGTTTCATAAAAACTAGAATATACAGGTATTAGGCGATATATCTTCTATTTTTAGGCCAATACGATTGTATTGCTTATAATATGTTTTAAATTTTTAATTTTATTTTTATAGTAATGCACAGTTTTATTTATTTTTCAGGTTTATTAAGATATAATTGATAAATAAAATTATTAGGTATTTGAAGTGTACATTGCAGTATTTCATACCATCTAGTTAATTAACACATCCATCACCTCACATATATATTCCCCCTCTTTTTTTTTTTTTTGGCAACAACCTTGAAGTTCTACTCTCTCAGCAAATTCCAATGATATAATACAATGTATTTGTTATTTTCAACAATTGGCAGATGGTATCAGTCCAGAGGCCCACATGGTCTGAGACTAAAAAAAAAACCCAAATTATAAAAATAACTAATGTGGGTAGAGTCCTAAAATAATGTCGTGCATTTGTGACCACAGTATAAACTGGCTTAGGAAAAAAGGGACAAATATTTTTACTTCATGGTTTTGTGGAAGATGAAAAACAATTTTTTTAAACTTACCTTATGAGCTCAACACTCTGAAACTGGCTGGATCATGTGGGTTTCGTTAGTACCCAGTCTGCACTGCCCCCAGAGAGACGTTCAATGAAAACATCTTATGTGTCTCAGTGACCTGCAATTTAGAGTCGGAGCAGAGTATCGTGGGGGGACGGCAACAAAGTGATATTCGCATGGCATTGAGTTTAGTGTAACACGCATCTTTTTTATTACTAGGGTTTTAGTTTTCGTAGACCTCTTTGAATTCATTATTTTAATTTTACAGCAGAAATAATGAAAAATGGTAGAAATACATTTGGCTAATAATTAGCAAAGTCGTTTGTTATGATGGAGGTGACACGTGGCTTAGAAATATGAATGAGAGAAGAGGTAGATCGACGTTAGTTTGGTTGACTTATCTCTAGCTCCTTCACTGATGTATTTTTGTAGCTATTTTGGTCTTTGTGAGACTCTAGAACTCTGCTCATGGTATTGTTTCCAGTGAGGCCTGTTCTCAGGGTGCGTTTTGGCAGAAGAATATGGATGAGGGAGCAAGAGTCTGGGGAAGGCTGGGTAGGAAATGTGTGCCTTTTGGAAAAGTCTTAGAAAAAGCAAAAATGAGGAGTATTTTTTAAAAGATCTTGGGAAAGAATTGCCTTATATAGTTCATCCTAAAAATAGTCTTTGCTTCTGGGTGCTTTGTGACTGTAAAGTAAAATTAGCCATTGAGTTAAGGCAAGTACCACACCTGGGAAATACAGATTGTTTACTTTTTTAGAACCTTCTCTCTTGCTATTAGTTGTCCCTACTGATAGTGTTTTCACTTCACTATGATATTTTTGCTGGGGAAAAACAAGAGGCGTTGCTGTGACTTACAGCTACTCATCTTTCCATTGGCCTACAAATTCCCAAAGAGAGCAAAGTTGTACCTCTTGTAATGCACACTCACTGGCTGGCGTCCTTCTCAAGCCTGCACACCCACTCCGACAAGGATTAGAGCTCAATCACACTGGTGCACAGAACTTCTTGGAAGACACATTCAAGAACTGCAGTCTTTAAACTGCAGTGTTATTAAAGGAAAAGAAGTACGCTTTGGAAGTGATGTATAAATGTTTAGGATACAAGTCGTAACCTTGGTGTGACTATCAGGAACATCTCATAAGCAGCAGGTGAAAATGTGGAGTTTTAGACCAGAACTCTGAGACAGAGGGCTCATCCTCTGGAAGGAGCGAGAAAGTCCACGCAGCAAGACTGTCTACCGTGGGGAGGAAACAGAACAATTCCTGTTCCTATGTGTTCTTCAACCTCTTTCCTTGCATGTCACAACATACATGGTATAAATGAGCACAAAATAGATTTCTGGTTTCTAAATAAATATATTTAAATTTGCATGAGCAGAACCTTTTCATTGTTGGTGGTAATGAAATTAAAAGCATTTAGGGAGCGCAAGTTGGGACACAAGAACCTAGCATTTGGGACTCTGTGTAGGTGACCGAGCAGAGGAACCCAATGCTTAGTGATTCTTCTGTAGGACAAGCTCTCCTGGCGAATTTTAATTTTATATTTACATGTATGCAAGGGATGAGTTTTAGTGGCTGGTTGGCTACCTTAGCGGTCAGTGTCGGCTCTGTCCCACTGGCCCACTGTTCTGGAGTTCAGTGTTCCAGGGACACAAAGGATGTGGGGGCCCCAGGGCTTCTCCACCGCTTTTATTTTACATGTGAATAAACATAGCCCTATTGCTGAGAGTACTACTGCATGCTGTGTTTTCCTTCCTAAAAAGTGAGAAGACACTAAGTTATTCAGCAAAGTGTCACATACTGGATTTGAGCAGTCAGTGCTTAGAATATATAGACAAATTTATAGAGGCAAGTTAAAGTTAATGGCAAAATTATATTCAAGAGCTAAGTGTTGATTTCCTATGTTCTGCTTTTTAACTTTTGTCATTTTTTTCATTTGATGAGAGGTCTGGGGTTAATAAGTTACTAAATTATGATTACCTTAAAGACCGAGAACTAGGTATATGCAATTGTGTGAAAAATTGAGTTCTACTTATTCAGACTTGCTTCTACAACTAATCTCCTAAGTCCATGATTAAAAAAAATAGTTGGTGAATCCTCAAAATTGGAGAAAAGGCAAATTAATGACCTAACTTAACACAATTTAAAATATTTTCAAAGCTAGTGCCCTCTTTAATATATACTGTGGGGGTTTGAATAGATGAATTTCTACAAATTTAGACGCTGCCCAATGAAATGCTTAGAAATACTTTTCATAAACCAAATTAGTTCATGAGAGATAATAAGAATGAGTGAAAGCCAGATGCAAACATACAGTTTTGCAAAGCAGTGAGTTCTTATTACCTACTTTACTAATGAAAAGCAAAAGTTTTAGTCCAAAATTTGAATGTTCCAAGAAATCTTCATGGTTGATATTATGTAAACACATTTTCTATCTGAACACAAATGTATTTACTTATCCATATATATATATCTTCTTGGGATTTTGATCAGTGAGAGTTAGTATATTTAGTTAAATAATGAATTTTTCTTCATCTCACATGTGTTATTGAATGCTTACCGGGTAAATCAGGCTTTGTGTTTAGTGCCTTATGTTCTTCTATAGAGAAAATGTCATTGGGCTTCCTCCCAGGTCAGATTCTTCTTCTGGTGCATTGATCTTTACTAAATTTTT